CATATTAACCCTAGAACTGCAGACAATATAGCTAGGACTCAATCAAAAAGTCTGTTCAAAAAGGCAGAATTCCAGGTAAGAAAATCATATATGGCATTTGCCATTACACATATTTAATTTAAATTGCTGTTAACACTAGAACCGCCAACAGTGTCAGCACCTACATAGATATCATTTTAAAATCATTTAATTTGTTCCTCTTCATAATTTCCTTTAAACTAAGTAGGACGATTTAAAACTCAGTTAATGGGTTCATTTAGAAATTGCTTCCGTTTATCATCATAATAGATCAAAAAGTTCAGATTAATTTTACAATAAATCAAGGAATGATGCACTTCTACAAACAAAAACAACATCATTAAAACATTTAAACAAACTACATTATTCAAAAGTTTACAGTAACTTCTGATAATGACACAGGGGAAATAAACAAGGCATCTCTCTCTCTCTCTCTCTCTCTCTCTTTAATCGATTTGAAACCAAGTCTAACGTAGCTTAACTGTAACGTTAGCTTTCTAGCTAACACAACACATGCACGCACCTTTCTCTGGGTTTTTTTGTAGTGACGAATGAAGTTGGATGTTGTGGTGGTCGTGTCACTGATCTTTATGCTGCATACCCTGCATACCGCTGTTCTCTTCTTATTACCGTCATCAACAAAATAATCCTTGAATCCAAACTTCACTATTTTTGGAGTAAAGCTAGCCGCTGCCATGTTAACTGATGCCCCGGCCACACGAGGACGAAAACGGCTAAACGCATAGGATTAACGCAAACGCAATCGCAAAAAAGCTTCCGTCCACACGCAATAGTCATCCGGATAGTAGGCTTGTTTGAGACGCGTTGCGGCTCGCCTCGAAAGTAGACGAGAGTAGCCGATCGCAGCCGGGGGAGGTCTCAAAAAGCTCGCCTGAAGTCGGACAGCTCGGAGTCGGCTTCGGCTGCTTCTCAGGTCGACTATTTTCATTTCCTCGCTCCTCGGTCCTCGGTCTCACCGGAAGTTGATTTGCCCGCGCCATCTTGAGTACCGTCCCATGGCTCTTATTTCTGCCGGAGGACCGAGGATCGAGGAGCGAGGAGCGATCATGGAGGAGCGATAACCGAGGAACCACCAGACCATCCTCCGATGAAATCCTCAGATACTCACCCCGCCCCCTTACTGTGTATCGCTCACTGATTGGACGAGGCAGTGCATGCATGATCTGATGCTTCTTGACATGAGAGCAGAGTGAAGAAAATACATGAACCTCACGGGAGTCACTCCTCAGTTTATACCGTGTTTTGTTTCAATTCATGTATCATTTAGTTACAAATATGTGATATATCTGAACAACAAAGTGGTCAAAAATCATTTAATTCATTTTTTGGAAACATTTTCATGATCGCTTTTTTCGTTTTACATTTTCATTTATTGTCATTTCCATTCAGTCAGTCATTAAGTGCTATTAAAATGTTAATGTGCTACATATCCAAACAAACAAACAAAGTGTGCAATCCAATGAATGTTAATCTAACTGGGTTTTGATAGATAACATATCTCTTTTTCTTCTCTCAATTATTTTATTTCTATTGTGCACTCTAATCAATATTAATCAAACTATTGTTCGTTTATACATTTTAAGAATGGCGTTTATCTTTTTTGACAATGAGTTCTTATTTTATTTTATTTATTTGGGTCTACAACAGATGATACAAATGTTTGTGTCAGTAAATGTGTACTAACAGAGGCGGGGGGTGTGTGGAAATAACGGGGACAGAGCTGCTGTCAGACGATCAGCTGTGCAGCGTCATCACAAACGGACGTCGCTTCACGTGACGCTCCGGAAGAAAGGACATCCCATTGCTCTTAAAACTCATTTCCCTGCTTCTCGTGGTTTCCTTGCGTCCCTCCATGCTTCCCTGGTGGGAGGGACTAAACGCAGGGAAACGACGCAAGTGAGGGAAGCAAGGATTTCATTTAATCGACCTGAGAAGCAGCCCTGGTCTTCTTCTTCTTCTTCTTCTTCTTCTTCTTCTTCTTCTCTTCTTCTTCTTCTTCTTTCTTCTTCTTCTTCTTCTTCTTCTTCTTCTTCTTCTTCTTCTTCTTCTTCTTCTTCTTCTTCTTCTTCTTCTTCTTCTTCTTCTCTCGGTTTATTGGCGGATTGCAAACAACTTTAAGGTGCATACCGCCACCTCCGGAGTCGGCTTGACTCGGTTTGCATTTATAAAGAATGCACACGTGTTTAATCGTTAATGTCAGATATGTACTAAGTAAATACATTTGTTCTTGCTCAAGATTAGATTCAACTTTATTGTTATTGCACATATTACAGGTACTGAGACAACGAAATGCAGGTTAGCTTCTAACCAGGTGCAACAAGCAGTAAAGTGAAAAGTAATGTACACAATAGACAGAATAAAATATAGAATGAATTGAATGATGAATAAACAGTGAGGGGTATGAATACACTAGATATGCCGTATTCGGTCGTCCTCGTGTGGCCGAAGGTCTATATGACACTAAACAGTAACGCAAACAACCGTTTTCGTCCTCGTGTGGCCGGGGCATCACTCCTGCCTTCTAGTGGGTTGCCAGGTTTGCGCGCATGGCGCTATAATCACGTTTTCCCAAAAAACTAAACGTAATATACACAAACAAACGCAAATATACAAAAACAAACGCAAATATTTAATTTTAAACAGTCAAGTCCTTTCAAGTCATCTATCTCAAGCTTAAGTCAAGTCTCAAGTCATGAATACCAAGTAAAAGTCAAGTCTTTTATCAATGTTAGTCAAGCAGGTCTCAAGTAAAAAAATATGCGACTCGAGTCAAGTTATTTAGACAATAATGTGACAATTTATAGAATGAAAATAGAAATCAGAGTTTAAATGTGGCTAAAATGTCTTGCCTTGTTCCGTTGAAACTTGTTAAACAATATCTAACAGGCCCCATGATTGTGCCCTGTAGTCAGATATTGTCTTCCTTCTCATGATTCTGCCAGACTAAAGACTAAAGATCTCTGTGAGAAAGTTCTTGTGATTAGGTGTTTCAGGGACATTTTGCGAGTCCAACAATCCTGACTGAAAAGATAAGAAGAAAATAACTGTTACTTTCCTTCCGTTCACACTACAAAGGTGTCTACCACGTCCTAAATGTTCAGATGTTCAAACTAGAACCCTTAATTGTGTATTTAGTATTAGTGTTCATATGAAACAAATATTGGTTTCCATTCATTTTAAACAGCTGGTGTCACTGTCAATTAATTGTATAGGCATAAAACGATGGTAGAAAAGGTAATCTTACAATACAGGTCAACCTGATAGTATCAAAAAGAATGGCCATTAGCGTTGGGTGTAGTGCTACTAAATGGGAGTCAAAATGTTATATCACTTAGTTGAAAGCTTTTCTGCTGCGTAAAAGCCTTTCTATTTAAATATATGCTCATTAGAAAGATAAACCTTGCTGATGCATATGTGACAGAGGTTAGCTAAGAAAATTCATATCATCATATTCTTTGCACACTAGAAAACATAACAACCAAAAGATGACAGCATTATATAAACAAACATTTTCCGAATGAGGAACAACCCAAGAGTATAGATACTCTATGTTTGTACAGTCTGTTAAAACATTGTACAGCATCTCCAGCATTAACAAACTACCATTACCAACAATGCCAGCAAATTATGTTTTATTCCAGTGTGAGTCAAAAGCCCTTTTGTTCCTGATGGCAGGGTTATTTGCCAGATTCACCTCTGTGTGGTAGAAACTGACCTGACAGCCCAACCCAGTCTCATCAAAAAACGTGTACACTGCAAAAACTGCAGATCTAACCAAGTGTAATAATCTTAAATTTAGATTCTAAATCTAGTTTGTCTTGATTTGAGTTTAAATAGCTTATCTAGTGCTTTCTATGGAAGATTTGTTGACTTAATTCAAGTAAATGTTACTTGCCTTGTCTTGATAAGCAACTTTGTCTTTATTTGAGTTATGTTTAACTAGAAACAAGGGACCTGTCTATAAAACATCCACTTCAAGGCTAAAAAGCCTTATTTTAAGCACTAGTATGGCAAGAAGAAAAAAAATGAATTTCAAGCATCAGCTCTGTGGTTAACATAAGTTATTTTCCCAGCTGGTAAAGACAGAAAAAGACACAATTCAAACAAGAATTAACATCTATTTTAATGATAATCAAAAAATGAACTGATAATCATCATAACACACTCTCCTAAAGGATATGGACCAGAATAACTGATGATATGCATGACATTGACTCTTGAGGTAGGTGTGCAATCTCTACTCTGTTACTGCCCTGGAACTGGTAACAAGGTGGGGGTCCCTGAGCAGTGAGGACACTGTTGGGAGGGGCTGCCAGCTACTCAGTACCCCCTCCCTCTTCCTTCAAGCAACGTCTCTTTCCCCTGTTATCTGGTCTCTTATTATGGCATAAGCAATACTGGACAAAGAACAATATCTTAATTTCTGAGATTGTGGTGCATTTATCACACCACACTTGTTCAAACAATCCATGCCACATTACACATTTAAACATGAACAGCTTAACACACCAAGTATGGCTGAGCGATATGGATAACAAAAAAAAATATCACAATATCTTTGACTTGAATTTTCACACACTTCATCAGATGTGGACGACTATAACGATTGCTCTCAGTGGTGTGTGCGAATTTGGCGCTTGCTGCATTATTTAATTATGCGAAGACCCGCCCCTACTCTGCTTCTCATTGGCCCTGAAAGAAGAAAAACCTGCAATGTGCATCCATGTGGTGTTTGTTATCACTCATAAAGTCGGAAAATTAGTGACTTTATTTACCATGTGTTTGTCAGAAGCTGGATCAATGACAATATCCACTAAAAGATGTAAACAACGAATGCCAGTACTATATTATTTACATCGAGAGATCCTCCTCAGTCCTCAGTGTTTACAAGTGGATGGCTGTTTGTGTCCAAATGATGGCAAACGGGGAATTTCCTATTTCACGAGGATCACCTGAACGCACCACAAGCCAAGCGCCAGCGGAATGTAACACGTTGTTCAGTTCACCTTCACCAGAGAGGCAGGACAGCGACCAAGAAGTGCAGTTAAGGTAACGTTAGTAACTGAACGTAGGAATACAAGTGCATAGGCATATGTAACATATTAGTGCTTTCAATTTATTAAGTATTAGTACATTCATTGGTTAACTGTTAGCTGAATTAGCTAAGATAGCTAGCTAACTACGAAGCACGTGTTGCTAGCTAACCTTAACCTCACTAATGGGGTATGTAAAAATTAAGCTAGCTAACGTTAACTACTCTCAGATAAATAAACTGTCTGTAAGGAACACAAAATTAGCCGACGTTAATATCATACGTTTTCTTTTGGTATTCAGTAATTGTATCTGTTAAAAGCTAGCAGTTAGTTAAAAACGCAAAGGGTGGCGGTAGACTAACTAACGTCGACCTAGCTAGTTCATAGTGAATCACAGCAATTTTACAATTTAGTGTCTGATGCCTTTTTTATGTGATTTTTAAAATGGTAGTTATAAGGTAGTAGTGGTCACTAGAGGGTTTAAACACCAGTGCTTGAATTGGAATGAAAAAGGTGCCAGTACTCTAAAATCAGCAACTTTTTCAAGTCAATTTTATATATACAACCCACAAACAAGAATTTGGCTACTATAATGCTGGTGGGTTTGTCTCTTTACTACTGTATATTTTAGAAAGGTTCACTGTACTTAACATTTTTTATGATAGGCAGCGGATATGGCTAAAGCTCAGTAAGGTCAATATTAACTGAAAATATAGCAATCAAAGTCTAGATCTTCTGCTGAAGACACATGAAGCAGAGACCTTTCAGGTGAGAGCCCCTCTGGTGGTGTTCAACATTAATGACAAGGAAACAAAGCTCTGGTCAGAAGCATTTTTTATAAAAAGCTTTAACAAAATTAAGTATTTCTGTACATTTTGAATGCAATCTAACTTTCCAACTCAGAAAACGAAAAACGAAAAAGTGCCAAAAGTCTTCTCACATGGCTGAGCTGCTTTGCAATATACTTCACCACTGAAGAATACAAATATGTATAAAGTAAACTATGATGCAATCTAACTTTCCAACTCAGAAAAATGATAAAGAGCATGAACAAAGAACATGTAAAAACAAATGCAAAATTTGCACAATCTAAAATGAGAAACTGTAACTGCAAGTAACAAAGTCTGAGCCATGGTAAAGAGTTACATTGAACACCAAGCTGATCAGATAACTCCCTGGTTGGTCTGAAGTCCTTCTATCTCCAGGATCTGTACAAATCGGCACATTATGCCAAAAGTCTTCTCACTGGGTGAGCTGCTTTGCAATATACTTCACATTGTTAGAAAAGGCCTCCAGAAGGCCTTGGGGACATCAGTATCAGGGGCTGGAGCTGGACAGGCTCTTTCATCAGCACTTCTCCTTCCCTTTGCCAGCCAGGACCTCACATACTGTTCCGGATTGAACTGTCCTAGTGATGGTCCATTACATTTAATGAAAACCAGGCTGGACAGTCGGCTGACAGAGAGAGCATTCCTTTTTTGCAGTAAGGATATCGTTCATGCAGCTGAATGCCCGCTCACACTCACTAGTGGAGACAGCGATGGTTCGGACTGCTTTAAGTAGAGGCTCCATGGCAGCAGGTGTACGGGATGCCCTGGTTTCCTTGTATTCGCGAAAGCCCTGAACAGTCTCTCTTCTGTCCACTTTCAGCACTTCGCACAAACGTAGCACCTCTACGTCCCCATACTGTACGTCTAACTCCTCTTCAGGCCAACTTCCAGGATGGATAACTTTCATGTCCTGGATTAGCTGATTGTCCCGGGCCTCCCGGCCATGTAATGGGATTTCTCTTATGCTGACATGAGAGGAGGTTGTGGAAGTCATTCTGTTGTCTCAGATTCTCTACCATACTGCGGAAAAACTGACCTGCATGAATCTGTACAAGCCTGCCATTCTCACGCAGGGGCAACACCCTTGAAGGACTTCTCAGCTAGAGCTGTATGAACTGTAGTCATGTGTGGGCCAGGCATGGTGACCATGGATTCAAAAACTCGTATTTCTCGAGTTAAGAGCCTATCTGCTGTAGGCAGTGTCATCTCTCTTTTTTGGAGTTGCCGAGAGAGGTCGCTGAGCTCTGTGAGCGCATCGTACATCAGTCCCAGATTGCTGACAAACGTTGCAGATGTGAGCACATCATCCAGGCCCTTGTACTTTGCTCTGTCTCTGGAATCCCTGCTCGTGTCGTTTGCAGCATTTGTGAAGTGATCATATAGCACTCGGTAGTTTTCCCAGACTGCTCTGACGCTCCTTTCACTTGAAGCCACCCAGCGGATGGACAAAACACGCCCTATCACCAGGAGACGCTGTCCGACTGCTTGCGCACACTGCGCTAACTGCCTCTGATTTTTGGGGGAGGCATGGAACAAGGAATAGAGTTTGTCAAAAAAGATCTGGAAATGATTGAGCCCTGAGACCTCCTTGACCACATCCCCAACTGCCAGCTCTAGACGATGATTGGAGCAGTGCCACACAAACAGGCTTGGGAATTTACTACACAACTGGGTAGCAACGCCTGTTCTCTTCCCTAGCATGACTGAATCCCCATCACATGCAAAAGAAACGAAACACTGACCTAAAAAGTCCTCGTTAAAATCTCTTCCAAGACACTCCATTAACGCCTTTGTGATGTCATCAGCCGTTGTTCCATCCAACTCGATCAGCTCCCAAAAAAACGTTTCGGGCTCAGCATCAGCTAATGCTGAGCGTAGACACACAACAAGCACCGTTTTACCACTAATAGTGGTAGATTCATCGACCAAAACACAGAGTTTTCTTTGGTTTTCTGTAATGTCTTTTGCCATTTTTTTCTTCAGCTCATGAGCTATGTGGTCGATGATTTCGCCACAGGTTTTATTGGAGTGCAAAACCCTGCCCACGTTCAGCCCATTCAGTTTCTGTACATTCAAATCAATTGGCATGTCTGTGAATGGCCGGCTATGTTTGCCAATTTTATATGCCGTTCGAAAAACTCTGATAGTGGTGTCTAATTCAGATTTATGCATAGACTGCACTTGATGTTGAATAGTTTCACGTGAAGCAGATGTAAGGATGTCAGCAGCTTTTACATGGGCTTGTGATTCTTTATGTTCTTTGATTTTTTTTTCTCAGGCTAGCTTGTCGTTTGCCCTTGTCAACACCGAAATGAGACACTGCACACTCACCCCCATTCAGTTGACAGTTTCAGTCCTTGTCCAGTGTGTATTCCCAAAGATTTGACATCTCTGCATATCCGACATCCTAGCTTCTTATCTTTAAGAAGGAGCCATGCATTGGTCTTGCAAAAATATTGCACCTGGTCCGTTGTCCAGCAGTCAGGTGCATCGCTTTGCCCGGTGTTGGTGGTGGCAGTTGCGCCAGCAGCAGCTAACGTTAGAGGCTCTGGAGGAGGCGGCGGAGCTAGTGCTAATGCTAATGCACTAGAACTTGGAGCAGGAGGATCAACCAAAGAAAGCTCCCCATCAGACACAATCTCCAACACAGGCACAGCATTCTCTGTATTTGAAGTTTCTTCCAGCGACAACCGCTGTCTTTTTGCACTTTTATTAATCCACGCTAACATTTTAGAAATGCTAATTTGTGACGTGACTTGCTTTCCTTCTCTCGGGGGCGTGCCTGCTCTGTTCTATCACTCTACATAGCCACCCACTGGGTGGGAGTTGCACTGCATAAACACAACACACGTGCATCTAGGTATGTAAATTGTAAAGCATTAAAACATGGTTTTACTAACAGTTTTCAGTATGTTGTTACTTCGGCATTATTATTATTATTATTTTGAAACGTGTATTACTATTAAATCACGGTCAAATAGGTTAATTTTGACATAGTCGTTTCCACCACAGTATTTACATGGAGAAGATAAGCCCCGCCCCCTCTCCAGCACGTTCTGTTTGAATGACAGGAGTAAACAGCTGACAGCCGCTGTGAAACTCCAGCGGTTTAGAGCGATGAGAATGTCCGTTCGGCACCTCATGACGCATCTACTGAGTACCAGGCGGCTGTATATATATATATGGATGTATAATAAGAACGGCGGGAGAGTGTTGAGTACTGGCACGGTGCATGAGTACCGGAGTACCGCCAGCATGCCGGTACTGAGCAAGAAGTGCCGGTACTCCATGGGTCAGAACCAGAAGTGCCGGTACTGCGTACCGGTGAGTACCGGCCCAATTCCAGCACTGTTAAACACTACTACCTTATGTCATGCATACAGGTGACCCTTATTGTTTTGCTTTCCCTTGTGCAACTGACAAGTGCTTTTTATATCCCCTGCAGTGAAAGTGTCAGGGATATTATAAATTCACCCCGACCGCTGCCCCCCCACTATCCAGCCAAACTTTCAGTTTGCTGATCCAATAACTGCAATCGTTTTTATTTCACTCTTTCATTTCGCTGTGCACATTCAATATCCCTAGGAGAACCGTTTGATTTTGGTGATCCCACGCTCTCTGTCTTAGCGCAACATTCAGGCCAATTTTTAAAAAAAAGTAGCACCAGTTTATGTACAATTTCCCAAGGTGACATTAAGATTCATGTCGCTTCAGGGATACTGTCGTTCACCAACAGCATCGTTTTTCCATGATTAGCTTATACTCCCTTGGGCTCTGCACAGAACTATTTTTTTGCTTTTGTGCTTACTTTTCAGTTACACAACACTTAATGTCAAAGTCAAATTGCCTAACAAAAACAAGCACAATGCATTTGATCATGTATCCATGTTGTTTTTCAGCTGGACAAGCGATTGCTTTCATGAAGGCACTTCCCTCAATGTTTCCTTCCCCAACTGCCCCACCCAAAAAGCTTCGGTCAGCAAGTGAGGCACTGTTCCATGTTCTTGAGGTGAGTCTGAGTCAGTATCAGTTAAACTGAAATAAAACTTGATATTCCTTGAGGTTTAATTTGTTTCTACTTTTTGTCTCTACTTTGTTGCTCTCAGCCATCCGAGGACCCCAATACGTTTCTCCAGAAACGGCCCATCACCAGTCCAGTCATCCTAGACTCTACTAACCTCCTCCTGGCTGTTGGCAAAATCCCACTGATGACCCTACCTAGGGAAATGATGCACGAGGCTCCACTCATCCCGATGGGGTGTTTTTACACCTTCCACCTCACCTACCCCAAATGTGTTGCTACTCTCCTATCCGTCATCCAGACTGAGGTACTGAAGGACAGTATTCACGAGCGTGACCTTACCCATTCATACAAAAAAGCAATAGCTGAATGGGCAGAATTCACAAAAAAGTAGAGAACTTGAATTATGTGTCCAATGTTTGTCAGTTCTATGAGGATGTATATATGTTGAAGAGCTTTGTTCATTTAATAAATGATCCTGTTTGTTATGGACTGACTTAATAAAAATGTGTTTTTTGAAATAATTGTCATGTTTACTTATTTTAAGAGCATGTGTTCTAATTTATCTCCCTAAAAACAAGAATTTCATTACATGTAACTTGTTATCGCTTTTATCCAAAGCGACTTACATACTCAATACTGTGGGCAATCCCCAAAGGAGCACTTTGGGGTGAAGTGTCTTCAGGGACTCAACGACATGCTGACTGCAGTGGGGTTTGAACCTATGCTCCCCTGATCCCAACGCACTACTCACTGTGCCACACGCCTCCCTAAATCTCGTTTTAAGTAATTTGATGCTAAAAGTACCCTAGTTTTGAGTGATAATAGGCTTCTTTTGCATTAAACAGGCTTAACTAGATTGCTTGAAATTAGTCTTTTTAATCTTATTTTAAGATTGTATGTGCTATAATGATAGTCGGACAGCCTGACTTGTTTTAAGACATCTTATCAAGTGAAATTTGCTTACTGCACGGGCAGCCAAATGTGCTTGTTTTAAGTGCAAGCATGCTTATATCTAGAACGTTTGGCCTTAAATTTGACAGGGTGTTTTTGCAGTGAAATATGAGTTGTTATTTCAGATTATGTGTGCAGTGGATGTACATGATCTTTAGTTTGCTAGTTATTACGAAGATGAATTCAGGAAATTGTGTCGATACAACGTTTTCATTGTTACCAAGGTGGTTGCTAGGGACGCTGCCATCGATATTATTTCTGTTATGTTGTGTAACAGTTTAATGGTGTAATCTTTATTGCTACCCCCTTCCCCATCAATGTATAGTGTTGGTCCACAGAGCAAACGTATTAGTAAAATCCGCATCTAAAATTGTGGCATAGGCCTATACGTTATTTTCCCCTGTGCAATTCCAGTCTCACATCTCACATCACATCGTCATAAACAAATACCGGAAACAGACCGAAAACACTTTATTCCGAGTGTGCTTGCTTTTCTCTTTGAAAGTCATCACATAACGGCATTGTAATACACGGTTCGGCTGCATTAAATATTACATATCTGCCGTAGTTCTCTATTTATAGAGCCCTGATGAGAAGACTTCTAGACAAACATGAGGAACTGCCGCCAACACTGAAAACGTGACATGGATCATAAATATATCAGCCATTAAACAACATCTTACATTTCTTTTCACACAATACGTCTCCTTGCAGTATCAACACTAATTCGGCTGACTTTTATATTTGATCCAATTGGTAGATAGGCTGTATTTACACAGCTGATATAAAGGGACACCTAGTGGTTAAAGCATGTTATTGAATTTCATTATTTTTATTATTAGATATTAATAGGATCCCTATAAAGTATATTCATTACTCGTTATTCTCTACTAATAGTTAATTAAAGACTGTATATAATGACTATTTTGCACATCCCTTTCAAGATTTCAAGATTTTCTAAGGTTTATTGACATATCATATACACAAACTGTGTAGTTATGCAATGAATGAAAAACTTTGTGTATACCTCCAGCAATGTTAACTATGTTGAAGCACTTATTTTAACTGATATTATACATATGTATTATACTCTTGTATAAGATGTATGTAGATAGTATAATAAATGTGCAGAATACGACAGTTTAATGGTGGAGGTACACACATATTGATAGATGTCTTGTAATGCACTGTTGAGGAACCTGCGACCAAAGTTTTTCATCTCCGGCCTTGTCAGGTATTGAACAATCAATAAATAAAGAACATAGAATTATTAAATATAAAACACAAAATGTGTGTGATTATACTAAATGATTTACAAATAAACACCACTGCATATTTACAACCGTTACACATGCTGATGTAACGCAAATGTTTCCAACTTGGAATCAATAGAGTATATCTTATCTTAAGATGATCGATGGCTACTGCCATATTTGCAAAATGTGCCTCTGAACCTTGACAAGTGCATGTTTCAGGCTCATCAATTAACAACAGGAGGGGTCACAAACATAAGACCAGCTATTAAATAAAGCTCTTCTGACCTTAGCTGGCATGTGGGTAATGCTGCCCATTATGAGCACAAGCAATTTTCACCCATTTATTAATTATATGTTTTACATTTGAGTGTTTCCTATCCCCTAAACCTCCAGGGATGTACACAGTTTAATACTGGCCACTTCTTATTATGGGAAATACGAAAACGTCTTTTAAAACTACACTCCCAGTAGAGACGTGCCATAGATAGAGAACATGTTGCGAAACACAATAGCCAGCATGTGTAGTTCTGGGGACAGGGTGGGGGAGGGAGGGACGGGGTGGACCCGTTCAAATCCAGTTTTGGACATTCTGCCGTGGTTCCATCCCATTTCAAGTGCTGTTCGACGCTCGGCACACTCTCCAATCACAGAGCTTGAGGACTATCATGGGGTTTGTCAAGCGAAGCGGAGAGAATACTTACTTCCGGGTGTAATATTCTGTAAAGCAAATTTGCTGCTCCGACCCTCGGTCCTGACGGACTCCAACTTGTGTTTATTAATTAATCAAACAAATAAATAAACACAAGGATAATTATGTGTTATTGTTGAGTAAATGGAGAATTGCACAGGGGAACATAACGTAGGCTATCTATGCCACAATTTTAGATGCGGATTTTGTTAAACTAATACGTTTGCGCTGTGGACCAACACTATACATTGACGGGGAAGGGGGTAGCAATAAAGATAACACCATTAAACAGTTACAGAACATAACAGAAATAATATCGATAGCAGCATCCCTAGCAACCACCTTGGTGACAATGAAAATGTTGTATAGACACAATTTCCTGAAGTAATCTTCGTAATAACTAGAAAACTAAAGATCATGTGCATCCACTGCACACATAATCTGAAATAACAACTCATATTTCTCGCATCAAATGACATCAAAAGGCATTTTAATGGCCAAACTAACTTTAAAATAGGCATTTTACACCGAGAATAAAACGAAGTTCGGCCATGTTTTTTTTTTCTGCAGGGAGAAATTTGAAGATCACGTGACATAGACGCCAGTCATTGGAATGAATGGTGAAAAAAAACGTAGGTATTTTACAATTTCAGAGGCGTTTTTGTAGAAATACTACGTCCTACGTTGTGGACCAACGTAGTTATTACACGTTTTTTTATGAGACTGGGTTGGACAGCCAGCTGCTCTTACTGGAACAATATATTTTGGTCACTGACAGAAGTAAACAATAGCAAGACACTTTTACAGTACACCAAGGACCTTTAGTATTTGTCAAACTCAGTTGGACATTTGAGAAAGATAGAAATGGTGTCAGACACTTTAAAACCAATGTGACAATTTTTTTAGAACATGATTTTGAAACCGAGCTGCATCCTGCGCATAATGAAAAATGTCAAGGATGTTCTTCTCTCTAATCTCAAACATTAACACACTACAATTACTCGGCCTTAACATGAGTAGTGCAACTTTCACTGTTTTGTGCCAGTTAGCACAACTAATATGGCCTTTATATCCTATGTCCCACGTATAAAATCTCTCTAGATAATACCTACAATCTAGTCTCACAGTCTGTGCTTATACAGTAGTATTTGGTGATTTTTATTTTAGACATAGATTGATAGATACTCCTACAGGGGATAACAGTGGTTTTGCTTTGAATGAGAAGGCACACAATGCCTGTTGAAGTGCTATGCATACGGTGATGTCCACTAATGACAAAGCAGCCTACCAGAGGATTCAAAGATCCGGCCAGAGCTTTGAAGTGAGTAATTACTCTCCTCTATCTAGGGAACCTCAGAGTAGACATGCATCACTCATTTACTAAAGAAGGGAAAAAAATCTAAATGGCTCACAATGGCACCCAGGAGCAGTGTGCAATTAATTGATAAACGCCAGGACGTGATGTCCCGTCAGATAGTATGGACGTGCTGCAAAAGAGTGTGCTGGAGCGTGAATCAAAGACTGAAAAATGCATTAAGAGAAAGTTAGTGAAATGCCATTAACCTACCAAAGCCCTCAACTGATAGTGGAGGGCAATACCATGAGTTTTAAATTGCACCAAGCCCTCGAGATTATGGCAAAGTCTGTAAATCTTCCATGAAAGGTTGCAAACCCGTTTTGATTGCTTCTGACACAGGCACATGAGGTTCCATCATCAGGACTTTGAATCTGAAAACCATCATTAGGGATGTGGTAAATGTGTTTTGACCGAGTGATTATTGTATATACACGTGCTGATTTATAATCAGATTGAAATTTTAGGGAAAAATATCATTCTTTGCTTTGGTTGGCCGTACTGTAAATACTGTGCGCATGCCAGCATGACTACATGTTTCCCATAATAAAGCTAGTATTAGTCTTTTCCCAAAGGGCCCCATCAATAAAGGTTTGAATTCCTTTTCTAGGCAGTGCACAACAAATCAACAGACTTGGCAAAGACAAGAAGCTCTCCCATTTTACAGGAATTTGGTAGTCGTGCACACACTTGTTTAAAAAAGTTAAGTACTCATCCTCCCACAAATAAACACACGCAAAGACACACACATCCTCCCCTTCTCGTCTTGCTGTAGAGATTCCCCTGGATTTGATTAATCTCCCCGTCAGGGGGAAGTTCTTGTGTTTAGGTCTACATAGGCAGGTTGCCCACTCCACATCTGGAAGCTCTAGCACTGCCATCTCCATACACACGCACACACATACACAGACTAAAAGGCTGCTGCCGCCAACACACCAATCACCCAAAAAGCTTTCTCCCATCATACACCTCCCACACACATTTGCTACCTTTGTTTTCCCTTCTGTAACTAATTATTTGTGGGATTTAAACTATCCTTAGATGTTGATTTAGGTCTCTTCTCTCTTTCCACTATCTATTGGAATTATTAAGAGGAAGCATGTGTCTTTTATATTGCTAGGTCCCTTTGGTATTGACAATTGCTTTCTCAAGGATAAGGCAAAATCAAAATGTATTAAAAGGAATTGTCTGCTGGAGAAAGTCACTTTAAAATGTTTGTGTCTTTAAAGAACAATCCATCCGGAAAGACTAATGGGTGAACAGTTATTG